GGCTCGCTTGGCGTCGGGGCGCATGCGTGACCCCCTCCCCGCACCCAAAAGTTACCCCCGTCCCCGTGGACGAGCGGGGACCTTTCCCGCAGTGGCGTGAAGGAGGGGCCAGGGTCTAATTTTGGGAGACCCTCGGGCCTCGTTTAATACTGGGGGCACACCGTGTTCTCCTTTAAATCACGGAAGGGGTCCCCCCAATCTCATTTAATGATGAGGGACCCCCTTAGACCTCACTTACTGTCAGGGCCCCCCCAGGTGTCATTTTAACCCTTTAGGGTTCTCTTTTAACTGGGGGGGTCCAGACCTCGTTCAGCATGGGTGGACCCCCCCAATTCTGCTTGCTCTTGGGGGTCCCCCTCAGTCCAGTACCAGGGACCCCTTTTGGTCCTGTCTTAATTGTGGGGCATCCCTCAAACCTCATTAAACAGGGGGAGGGATCGTGCCGGTAGCTTGAACCTTTGGGGGTTCCCTGGCTCACTCCTGTTGTAGTTGGGGACCCCCCCCTATTGCTGGGGGCACCCCTGGCCCCACACAGGGCAGCGAGCTGGGGGGTCCGGGGGCATTACGGGGTCCCTGGCTGCCCCCACGGAGCAGAGGTCACTACCTGGGTGTGGGATGGGGGAGGTCTGTGCCTCATTAATGCCTAATTTCCCCCCTCCCCGTGACATGGCATGAGTTTTCCCCGTGCTCAGCCTGCCAGGGGGGCTCGGGTTCCCCCCAGCTTTGGGGGATCCTTCAGCCGTCCCAGGGGGTGGGCAGCACCGGAGCCTGCCGGAGACCCACGGCAGGGCGCACGTCCACCCGTGGGGCCGGTTTGGGGGTGCCACCGCCATGAGGCGGGCAGTCACCCCCCCCTTTTTTGCAGGGGCGGGCATCGGCCCCACCATCCAGATCGGGGAGGAGACGGTGATCACGGTGGACGCCAAGGCGGCGGGCAAGGGCAAGGTGACCTGCACCGTCTGCACGCCCGACGGCTCCGAGGTGGACGTGGACGTGGTGGAGAACGCCGACGGCACCTTCGACATCTTCTACACCGCCCCCCAGCCCGGCAAGTACGTCATCTGCGTGCGCTTCGGGGGCGAGCACATCCCCAACAGCCCCTTCCAGGTCATGGTGAGTGTGCGAGGGGGGTGCGAGGGGCCGGGGGGGGGG